GCAAGGCATTGCATGTGATTAGAGAATTTCCAGGAATTATGAGAATTATCCATCATTTGTTCTTTGTGAAATATTTTCAGATGACATGGCAAGCTTCAGGTGTGCTGCACTGTGTTGAATAAAGGGAGCCAGTAGATGGGTGAGAATGTTGTATCTTCTATAGAGCGTACAGAATGGAACTGATATGAAGTGGGAAGAACAAAATTTTAAGCCTGATGTAAACCTCGTCAGTATAATTTAAGTTGTGTGTTAAACTGTGTGTGCAAGCCGGAATAGAAGTTAGCTTTAACTCTTACCGCTGGCTGCCTCCAGAATTCTTTCACTGCCAAATGTTTGATCCTAGGAGATTTTTGCTTTTGCTTTCCCAGTCAGTAATGACTGAATGTTCCCCACTTCCTTGCAGGCATGGTTTTGCACTGGTACCCCAGAGGATATACAGGCTGTGTAAGTTGCTAGCTGTCTGTAGTTAGAAACTGTCAGGGTGGTGGTGCCTGTAGGTGGCTTTTTTATGGGTAAGAGTGTTTCATATGTCATGCCCCAAATTAGGCAGTACAAGATGATCAACTTTGGTCTTGTACCTTGTAGGTCCTACTGGCTCTTAAAGCACCACAAACTAGTTTTTGCATGGTATGGCAAGAGATCAGTTTGTTCAGGAAAATGCAACTTTGACCCCAAAGGCTTCTCTGTTGTTATTTAGAAATTATATTGGATAAACTTCTAACCTAAGAAAACTGTAATGCTCACCTCTGTGGGTACTAATTATAAATGGGATTTATCCTCAAAATAATCACCTACCAGTTTCCTTTTATTCTAAATACAGGGTCAGAAATCTTGCAATGAGGCTGGATCAAAAATAACTAGATCATTACCATGAAAAAGCTTTGTTTTCCTTGCTGGTTTCTGTGCCTGTGTTTGATTTCTCCTAATGCATACTTCACACTTTTCTTTACAGAGTTTCACCTTACCCATTCCAAATTCTTGTTTTAATTTGTCAAGAACATGCTGAATTATGTTCTCCACAGAGTCTGACATTTCTCCTGCACTGGGGTGATTTGCAAGCTTTTCACTACTGGATCACTGAAGTTATTAATAAGCAAAACTTTGTCCAAGACAACTCCCTGGGGCTGCTGCTTGAAATGTTCCTAGTATCTCATACTGAACTAACATCTGCTTGTGTATATTTAAGCAGTGTGATTTTTGTTTAGATTGCAGGTTTGCATGTAAAATTCTGGTAAGAAGAGGAGGAGGAGAAAGTGGGGGAAATGCTAGGTCCTGTTACCAATCCCTTCCTCTCTGAAGCAGTGAAAAGTGCATTTTCCCTGAATTGGCTACAGAGAGTTAGGGTGAATCTTTCGTGCTATTCAGGACCTGTGTATCTCCCTGTCTGCAATGGCCACAAGGGGTGAAAAAGCTGCCCAGTGTGGGATGTGTCTGCCCTCTTCCCTTAGATGGTGTAACCAGATGTGCTGCCTTTACAAGATCTTGTAAAAATGTATTTTCATGATGAAGATGCTGACTAGTGTTTCTTACTAACATGACATATTAGTTGAGAAGAAGATTTTAGAACTACCAAGCATTACTGATCATTTCTCCTGGGCAGGAACAACAATTGACGTGTTACTTTATCACTTCAAGGTGAATGCTGAAAATGAGCATTGGTGGAAAGTAAATTTTACATTTTTTTACAAATTTTAAAATGTGCTCTTACATTTGATGTAACTAAAGAAAACGTAGGTACCTAAACATTATGTTGTATGTAGCCTGAGACAGGAGCTGTGTCTTCCCCTGAGGTAGAGCGATAGCACAGCTGGGCACTGATCTGACACGGGTAATTGACTGTCTCTGCAGTAACTAATATTCATGGAGTGATCTTCATCTCCTTTCTCCCTGGCACAAATTCCACATAAAATTTGATGCAATTACATTTGTGCTCAGGCTAGTGGTCCTGATATTCAGGCCTCAAGTTGAGAGGAAATTGTCCATGTCACAAGAGTAATGGTTTCATAGCTGGGCTCTATGCAACCATCCATGCTAAATGATGGCAACCACAACCATCCAGGCTGTGTGTGGCTCTTGCTGCAAGTTTGGCTCCCACTGTGAGAGTAGGGGCATGATTACAGCTCCTGCATGTCTGTATGAGATCCTGCGTAATCCACCCATTTTCTTGCATGGACACCCTTCATGCTGAGTCTCTTCTCTTTTTAGCGGTTGAGAAACTGTTAAACCTGTTTGGATTTTTCCATCCCATCACAAATCTTCATAAAGGCATTATGTTGCCATTCACTGCTGTGCTGCTGTGTGTTCCCCAGGGAGGTTTGTTAGGTTGTATTAGTACAGATTAAGATCTGTGCTATTCTCACTTCTCTCAGTACCAGTTCTTTGCTTGCTAACTGTGAGGTCAATAAAATTCTGTTTTCTGTCAAATAACAACTGTTTTCTTGTGAGAGTTGCAGCAGTCTCCACTTCACCAGTCTGTCATATGGATTCAGCTGCAGGGAGCACTCATGAAATATACTGAAGGATGTAGGAAGATTTCATAGCCATGCTATTTTATTTCTACAGCCATTGCTGCCTTTTCTTTTGTTTTTGCCCTATCTGGACATTTTTATGTAAATGAGATTAGGGAGGACTGGAAATCAAACATGCTCAGATGAAGAAGGAAAGATTCAGAACAATTGGCTAGCCATCAAATTCATTTATTTTTGTTTTGTTTTGCTTTTTCTAAAATAATTCCAATGTAAATAGGTTTTGTTCTTTTGTTTTGCAATGTTACCAGCTTTAGTGAATTCTGAATAAAAACAATAATGTTAAAGATCTGAATAATGACTCTTTTTTTTTTTCCAAGTAGTCGCTCAAAAGCAAGGATCTAAATAGTCAAACTTTAACACTTGCAACATAATTACACATGCTGATCTGGAAAAAAAACCCAAAACAAAACAAAAAAGAAATGAGCACTTCCAAATATATTTCAGACTTCTGAGGGAATATTTGAATGCTGTGAAATTCCTGTAAGCCTTTTTAACAAATATTCTCAGCTTTCACCACTTGAACACACCCAACCCTTCTCTCTCTCCTCTTCTCCCTTTCTGCTTTCCCAATTCCATATACCAGCTTAACATTAATGCTTTTGAAGCTAGAATACAAAAAATAATGCCTGTTACCAGAAAGTTAGGGGAGTTTGGCACACCAGGTCCTAAATCCCAGAGAAACGGAGGAGAAATCCACTTGAGCTAGGCACTGGAACTGTCCTTCTGGGACAGGAAATGCATGTTCATGGACACAGGATGATGACAGCCTTTTCAGAGGGATGTCAAGGAATCAGAAATGAGATGATCTCTTAGCCCTGACAGTTTTGTCCCTCTAACGTTTTCAAACTTGCTGGTGTTTCCTTTTTTTTTTTTTTTTTTTTTTCCTCCTCTTTTTGCCTCTATTTCTAACAGTAGATTTCAGTTTCATTCTGATAGTGAGTCAAGAACAGCTAGCGTTGTGGGAAAGCTTGTTTTTTGCTAAGTAATTCCAATATTTGCTTCGGAATGTTTGAATTGTTCTGTTTTCCTAATTGTTCAGTCAGCTTTCTAGGCTAGGACTGATTTTTGTGTATCTGGCTGAGGGTAGATTGTGATCTGAGTTCCTGAGATGAATTCTGTTATCAGTAACTTAAACCTATGATGATGAGTTCCTTTGTTCTGTTGGTCACATCTATGCCTTCTTCAGTCAGTTTTTCAGCAAAACAGCAACAAAATAAATGTGACTTTTGAATATCACAATGCTTAGAGCAACATTGCAGCTGCAGGTAGGAGGAGGTGGAGGGGGTAGAGTACAATGAGACACTGAGGTATTTAATTTTCATTTTATGTAATTTTCTCCTATATTCAGGAAGTGTTGGAGAGATTAAATGTCCCAAGAGGCCTCTTTTAGCTGTACTTTCCCAAAATAAGGTGTTATTCATGCACTCAAGCTCAGAAAATGGTGTTCTCCTATCATCAATATATGGGCTCCTGGAACTTTCTCAAAGGCTCCTAGCAAGCAAAAACACAGCTAATATACCCATATGTAATAAGTAGGTCTTACTTCAAGAAAGAGAATAAATCAAAGGCTGCACTTCAGAGAGCACTACCACACTTTGGAGAGGTTTATGGAAAATCTTGGCTGGACTCAACAAAAGAAATTACATAAGGAGTCTCATTTGTCACATGATCATTTCTCATCAAAGTTCTCCTTATAATTTTAGTAACATAAAACAAATTGGTGTGATCACAGTAGTGGTTCTTCATAGTCCTTCAGTGCTACAAAACAACATTTTTTAAGTTTCGGAAAACGAACTCCCTTCTTTTCACAGATGTGGAAGACCTACAAAACTAGCAGAGTAAGAATCAGTGAATTCCATAACATCCCTTCTGGTTGTCCATCTCTGCTGCCCGTGTTTGTCAATCTAAAGAAAGCTGTAAAATATAATGGCTGTGGTCTGAACAGCTTAATCTGTGATGTAAAGCAAAGAGCTGTTTTTAACTGAACAGCACAGTTTTAGTGCTTATACATCTGTCTGGGCTTTATTTCCAACCATTCATTAATGTTCAGCTCTTGATTCAAAACTTAATGAGAAGTACAGAAAAGAAATACTATCTTTATGTGATGGCGGCTCAGAAGGAAAAAAATTAAGGAGTTTGAGCCATAGATTAAGTCAGAAATTAGAATTTCTACCCTAGTAGATATCCTAGGGTTGCTCATCTGATCTTAGGTGATACTGGATGATCTATCCCAATGTTGCATAACTTCTAAGAATTGTTATTTTACCTGTGAGACAAAGTAAATTGAAAGTGATGCATTGAAATCAACGAAATGATGTTGATTTCCACAAATCTCTTAAGTAGGATAGAAATAGAAAAGTAAGGTTGAGTATTAGACTCCTTGTCATAATCTCACAATACATCCATGCTTTTGTCACTGCTTTGTTATTAATAGTATTATTATTATTGATCTTTCTTTTATTGTTGTTTCAGGTTAGGTTTCCCCATGATGATCGTGTCCTGTACCATCGGGATGTGCTATCTTCTTGTTGCTCATGTTGTAGTAGGTTGGAATTCATAATAATTTATACATTCAAGACTCAAGGAAGCTTTCTGTTTCATTTGATTTGTATAACAGAACACTAAGAAGACACATAAAAGAAGAAAGTTGTGTGAAAATCCCACATAAGCTATCAACCAGAATGATTGTAAGTGTCAGGTTTGGTCATTCTAAACTTCTGTTCTGTGAACAATTTGCAGAAAAAGACATTCCAAATTAAAGAATCCATATATAATTATGTAAAAAAATTATCATGCAGATGAAAAAACACCACTGTGAGAGAATATATTGTGCCTGAAAGTTTATATTAACACAATCCGAGTGTAGTCACAGAAGAAAAACTCATTCACAATGGGAGATGTTCATTAATTTCTTTTAGAGCTTCATTTATCTTTGTCAATGTATTTAGCTGTTTGTATTCAAGTAACTAATATTCAAGCTACAATAATAGACAATTAAGCAGACAGTCTGTACAATATGGAAGATGTATCATTATCTATGTTTAAAAATAAACTCAACTCCTGAAAATGTACTATGGAAGAAATTATTCTTTTGGATCTGGGATTGCATTCTGTGGAAGCTTTTTTTTTTTTTTTGCATTAAAGCTCCTAACCAGTGTTTAGCTGCTTTATTTTATTTATTTTTTTTCCTAAAGTTATCAAATGCTCCTCTCCTTAGGAAAGTACAGGCACAAAGGGTGATAAAGCACCGGACATCTTCCATTTAATTATTAAGTTGCTTCAGTGATAGAGTACTCTAAGTCTTTTGATAGGTTAATACACTATATGGAAGAATGAGATCATACTTGGCTTTGATTTCCTTCTCTCTGATAATAACTTATTAAACTATATATATTGTTTTGTATAATTGGATGCCAGAACAGGTCAAACTTCTCATTATGAATATTAAGTCCTGTGAGGGATTCAAGGTTTCAGTCCAGCTTCCAATACCTTTTGTGGGATTGGCCTTAGTGGCAGTTGTGCTCTCTCCCACAGAGTATGTGGAGGTAATCATCTCATTTCACTCATATCCAGATTTTATACCTTACCTAGATAATTTTTGTAAAGCTGCAATACAATAGTAAGACAGTAAGCAAAAGTATCCATGACACCATTCAAAGAAAGACTGGCTCCCACACCTGTGTATTGAAAAAGCATAACAACTGAACAACCCTAAACCAGAAAAAAAAAAATCCTGAAAAACATCCAAATCGAAGTGAAATGAAAAATAACAAAAGGCCCTAAAAATCATTCCTTCAGACAACATCTGAAATTGAATTTGCCCTGTTTATATGTTGTGGTTTTTTTTTTTTTTTTTTTCGGGGGGGGGGGGGTAGGAGGGGGGTTCTTTTGTGAGAGTGGTTTACTCTATAATAATTAGTCTTCTGCTGCAACTAAAGAAACATTAATGCTAATCAGCTTAACATTGGTTCCTGGTTAAAAATAATTACAAAAATTTTATAGCTTTTAACATCTTTCACTTTGGAGGAATTTTGGTGCAGGCACTATTTGTGCATGAACTGCTGTGCTAGGCCCTGAAGAATGCAAAATCAGGACTCTCCTGAAACACATTTGTTCTTATCTTCCTTTTTTATTTTATTTTGCTTTTTTTCCCAGCCACCACATTTAAAGCTCTATTTCTTTTTCTATTCCAGTGAAACTCTCAGCATGTAGGAGTATAAAAATGAGGCTGTGGCTCCACAGCACAACTTACAGATTTGTTTGTTTTTTTTTTTAAAGGGTAAAAAAAGCCCACAAAACAACCCCCTCCCAAACCCTAATCCTCCTTCTAGAGCTTTGAAACCCTCTTGCCAACCGTAAGCCAGATCTGAAAATGCATATCTGCATTTACAGTTTGCTGGAAGGAGAAAGATGTAAGTGTAGCAGTTCATTTCCACTCACTCTTCTTAGCAGGTGCTGTGAAACACTTCAGTGGAAGGGAGATCTTGCTGGCTTTAGACATGATACATCAACAGGATTCAAATGAGATTTCCTTTCTGTTTTTATTACTTGTCCTGATAAGAGAAGGCTAGTAGTGCACAGGGAGTACAAAATCATATTGACCATGCTTTTAGTCAACTGAATGTAAGGCTAAATTCATTCTGCTTCTAGGAATTTTCTACTATGGCATAATGTTTTCCCGAGGATTTCCTTCAGATGAATTGGCTTTCCTTCCCTAAACACCTTTGTTGCTTCATTTGCACAGCAAAGACCTCTCGAAGAGCTCGTATGACAAAGGAAATGGTAATAAGAAGATAAAGTTGTTTGCACAAGGCTTTATGTGACTGCAATCTAATGTTCAATTACCAGAGAAGTAACAGTGATAAACATGTTTTTGTGGCCTCTTGCTGTTATTTCTCACATTAGCTGACAATCTGCTAAAATGAAAATTATCCAGGTACTTCAGATCACTTCAGAGTAATGAAGTATATTTTTCACTGACTTCCATTATTGTTATCAGTGTAATCTGCATGTTAGAGGGGTACGAGTTAGAGTGACTGCATCCCTGCAAGAGACAGTGTATAGGATCCTGTAGAAGTTGAGTGAATTTGAAGAGTGGTGGAATTAATTCTCGCAGTGAAAATCTCTCTGAAGGGTTGAGTAAAATATTAGTTAAATAATAAATTATGTAAAAGCCTATCAGATTTAGCAGCTCTGGGGCTGATTTCAGAAGACTGAATTCTAATTGTCATCGACATCCTTTTAGGCTTACTTTGTGGTGTTTGTTGTAAGCTATGGAGTAAATACAAATGCATGCCTACTTGAGATGTATTTCTCCTTGAATGAATAGTATAAATGGTGAATGGTTAAGACAGAGATATGGGAATTATATCATTACATGGGAATGTAAGCAAAGCCTACTAAAAGAACTATTCATCTTCTGAAGGGCAAACACTGAAAGCAAGGAAAGAAGCAGGAACATACTAGAGCTTCACCAAATAGTGACCAAACTACTAAAAAGGAGTGTAAGAGTGATCCAAGGTCTTCACAATCCAGCATGTCTCCAAGAGAGACACATAGTGTATGCCTGTGAAGAACCCAGGACTAAGGTGAACATAAAATGCTGCTTTCCCCAAATACAGTCCCAGATTTCAGAGGTTTCTGTGATTCAAAGGCTTCTTGAATGAGTGGTAGCACATCTGTATTGAATTGCAACTAATAGATTGTTCTACCACAAACTTTACCAGCACATTGCTGAACCTGTGTAAATTCAACATCTACCTCAAAGTGTTTCATAGATACATTGTGGGGAAAATATTCCAGCTGTTTCTTTTGAATTTGCCTTGTGCTAATCTAATTTCTAAGCCACTTCTCTCCCAACTCCTTTCCTGGGTCTTTTGTTTGGGAACAATCAACCCTTTCTACTTTTTTCCAAATCATAATTATATGGATTGATTTCCAGTCTGGAAATCACAGTCTGTTTGCTTATTTCTTACTTGGAAATGCTCTCCTGTCTTTGTTTATGGCTTCTTGCGTCACTGTAGATTCTTTGAGTCTAAAGGATCAGATATAAACATAAGCAAGACACAAATGCCTGCTGATTTACTGTTTTTCAATTATTTCCTAAGAATTGTTGAGATCTGACTCAATAATTGGACTGCTGCTGACAAATAAACCAAGGATATATTTTTATAGAAGTGTTTCTTATAATTACAAGCTACATTTCCAGAGTAATAATTACTACCTCTCATTGTTTAATGTGTAAAATTAGGGTTACTTTTTTTGTTCCTGCTCTTACATTACTTTACAACTATCCAGACTGAATGTCATTAGCCATTTTTTTTCAGTCACTTGCTGTTGTAAAGGTTTTCTATAATTCTCCATTGTTATCATCTTTGCTACCCTGAATAACTCATAAACTTTCATGTTTAACCTTTTACCTCAAGTGCTAGGTCATTTACAGGTATGTTAATAATTTCAAAGCTAGTCCAACTCCCTCTAGAACTACATGAATGAATCGTACCCCTTATTACACAGCAACTTAATTTCCTTAGGAGCTGTTGGATTTACTATAGGTAACCTTTGTCTTATAGATCAAATCAAAATTTGTTTAAAAATTGAAAATATTTTCCAATATTGCATAGTGAGTTTTGAGGCTATCTTGCTAGTGGATATTGCTAAGATGTGACTGAAAAAATATCACTCATTTACGTGATGATTTAGAAAAAAAGTATTTGCCTTGAAAAACATATGTAATAATTTATTGTTTAGGGAACTCTTTTATACCCATAAAAGGAGATTTGCCTTGTTGAACAGGCTGTTCCACAACTGCTCATAAAAGCTTATTGTAGACCATACTAAATCTTCTTGTAGCATGTTTTGGTCCACTAAAGAAGTCATGGTTTTCTTAGCAAAAGTTAAAATTAACTGTGTAATTTCTAGGAAGCCAAAATTTGAAGGTACAATTGGAAATTAAAATTGTTCAATCACCCAGAAAAGGAAGGGTCCCATTTGAGAATTCAAGTGTTACTTGCAAAATATTTTTTAACAGCTCTTCAGATAATTTGTACTGCATACTTCATTCAGTGAACCAGAATAATTTTATATTTAATATATAGGAATAGATGCAAAAAGAAAAGGCTTCAATTTCCTGTTGTGTTGCTAGATTTCTGTGTAACTTTTCATAGTCATTTGATTTGTTTCTATATTTGTTTCCTGATTTTACCCAGTATTCTGATGTGCTTTAAAAATTTACATTTCTGTAGAGATGCTGTGGGCTGTGGGCTTTGTTGATCAAATATCAGAGCATTAGAGTTATCTGCAAACATCATCTTTTATTTTAAAGGCACTAATAAAAAATATAGAAAAATATCAGCATAACAGCTATCGATGGTTACATCCTATATTAACCCCCACTAAAAAGAACTCATATGTTCCAAATGACAAAAAATTAACGGGACCTGAAATAGACACAAAATAAAAATGCTAAGCATGAGCTTCCATGTTTGTTGTAATGGGATGCTAAGAAAATGATTGGGAACCAAGCCAGAAAATATAATGAAATAGCTCAAGCATTAAATT